TGGGGGAAATGAGGACCCAGACTGGGGGGGTGATATGCTGACGCTGTAAACCGCTGAGAGAGAGCGGAAAGCCCTATGAATCGGTATATAAGTCTAACTGCTATTGCTATTGCTAACTGCTATAGCCGGCAAGCCACTCCCACCCGGTCACATGGCTGGCAAGCTACTCCCACAAAGCAGGCCACACCTACAGAAGAGGTTCTAAAAAAATTTGAAACCCACCATTGCTTCTTGGGATGTTCACAACTAGGAAACAAAGCTTTTCCCCAGCATTGTTCTCCTTCAGGTCATAGTTGGAGGCCAGCTATCTTCAAACTAGAGGTATCATGGCATTTTCAAGACCTATGTTCCTTGCTAGGCTTTTCTTCCATGGATTTAAGCCATCCAAGTCCTTACCTGAAATCCTGAATTTGCTATTGGGGAAAGTTAGGAGAGCTTGGACAGAAAGGAAGCCATAAGGCTGAAGAGTGCAGGCATTGTGAGAATGTTCTAATGTTTTAAGGTTTCTATTGGTCTGAGCAAAAGTCTAAATAAGCTCAACAGATTGCACCAATGCATAATTTCATTCACATTCTGGTTCCCCTTAGATTTTTGCAAGTTGCCTCACAGAGTGGCATGGAGACCATAATTTTGCCCTGTTATTTAATCCCACCATTTGGTAATCAGAATAATATTGTCATGGTTTGAAGGAAGTTAGCACCGACACCTCTCCTAGAAAAATGAAATATTTTAGGAAATATTAAAAAGGGCAGAATATTTCCCCTAAAAGGGAGGCAGAAACTCAGACACCCCCCACCTTTGTCAATGGGCCATTAAGGCCTGAGACAGCACATCTGCAGCACAAGAGACATGGTCTTCAGGATGTGATAGGATTAGCCCTCTACCCATCTCACCACATGGCACCTAGGGAGATTACATCAGCCAGCAAAGCTCAACCAAGCCTGGGAGACAGACAGCCTATAAAGTTAGTTAAGACCCCCGCCCCCTGGGAGTCCCACCACCAATCAGAATACAATTCTTACACAGGAACAGGAAGCTCTAAGGTAGAGTCCAGGAGAGGATGTACATCTCTCTCTCTCTCTCACCCATGTGCCTTTTGCCCCAGGACCCCAAACCATGTGGTCCTGTCCATCATCAATAAACCTTCTTTTCAAGCAACTTCCATGAATCTAGTGTCTTTTTTCCCACTTGGAACTGAACCCAGAAGGACATTTCTTCCAATAGGTTAATCAAAGTTCTGTTCAATTTCAATGAAACATAAATTGGCTTACTCTTCAATCTTACAGGAGCCGATGTCGCTAATACAACATGGGTAGCTTGAATTGAACCTAGGAGGAAGGGAAATTGTGAAATAAAGAAGGGGATCTTCAAGCACGAAACCCACAATTAATCTCCTTTATTTTCTTGGGGACGGAATAGGAGCAGGGAAAAAGACTCGGATCTTGCCCATGGACACAACATGTTATGAAAGCCCATACAGTGACCCTGAAGAGCTCAAGGACCGGAAGCTATTCTTAAAAAGGAGCAGTCTGATGATCGATGAAGTGGACCTGGGAGAGGGCAACTTTGGGTGTGTCAAGAAAGGAGTTTACAAAATGAGGAAGTAAGTGCACCCCATGTTTTTGGGTACATTTCTATCAATGTGCTGAGACAAGATCTCTGCAGTTTTCAGAAGTTGGTATTCCCTGAGGAAAAATCAAAATTTGTTTTGTTTGTCTTTTGCAGGGGATTTCTTAAATTTGGACATAATTTGTGGGTGGCTGTCTTAACTTGGTGGAGGGAAAGTAGCTATGGTCTTCTTCTTTTTTGCCCCCATAAGCATTCCTAGGTCCCTCTTTCCAAAATAACAAATAACCTCACCCACTTTAGGACAGTATTATTGACTTGACATGAAAGCCTGGCCCAGTTCTCAAGTGGTCTACACAGAGAGTGGGATACAACACACAGCAGTGGTGGGATTCAATTTTTTTACTACCAGTTCTGTGGGCGTGGCTTTGTGGGCATGGCAGGGGAAGGTTACTGCAAAATCCCCATTCCCTCCCCACCCCACTAGCCTGCCAGTTGTCTATAATGGTAAAGAGTGTCCTGCTCAAGCAAAGGGTTGGACTCAGTGGTGGGTTTCAAAAATTGTTCGAACCTACTCTGTGGGTGTGGCCTCCTTTGTGGGAGTGGCTTGCTGCCCAGGTGACCGGATATGAAGATGCCGATGACACTTGTCAGAACCACCTTAAATTACCTCACACACAGCACTGGGATGCATCAGAATATGATGTAAACTTGTTTTTTAAAAGGCATCTTTGGTTTGCGTTAAAACAACTTCAACACACGCAATGTTCTGATTGCNCTGGTCAGAGTTTGCAGCAACAATCACATTCAGAAAGCACAGTAACTATTTCAGCAGGATTCAAAATAATAATAATATACAATACATTACCAAAAGCAGGGTTTCCATGGGACCAGTAACTACAAGCAAAACACAAGCAGTTTCACTTTCAGTTCTCTGCTAAGCCAGGCTCTTTCCTGTCTCCTTGTTGCTCACAAAGCAAATTTCAGAGTCCAAATAACTCTCATTGGCTGACTTAGTTACAATTCCTATTCATTGGCTGACCTTGTTACCATGTGTCAGCTGAATACCATGGATGCTGGTAGGCAGAGGCAGATTTTTTTTCTTTTTCTTTTCCTCCCCCCAAAATAAGATACCTCTTATACTCCAGAGTGTCTTATACTCTGGAAAATACAGTATATCAGTGATGGAGAACCTTTTTTGGCTCCTGTGCCAAAAGCAGGGGGAGCGCAGGGGGTTGTGTGTGGGCGTGCCACACCCATAATGCTATGAGCATGACACCCCCCCCATGAACGCATGTGCGTGGGACCAACAACACCCCCCCCACTTTTGGCATGGTTTTTTCGGCCTCCCCAGGCTCCAGAGGCTTTCTAGGAGCCTGGGGAGGGTGAAAACAGCCTCCCCGCGCCCCCAGACACCCTCTGGAGGCATCAGGAGCTTCCCAGAAGGCTCCGGAGGGTGAAAAACAGACCTACGGGGAACCTGGAAGTTTGGGAATGGTGACTTCCAGTTTGTCCATAGGGCTGATTTTCGACCTCCGGAGTCTTCAGGAGACTTCAAGGACAGGGAGTCACAGAATGTCATTCAAAAGAGGTATTAACAGAATAACAGTCTGAAATGGTATAGGACTGGCAAGTAACTTCTGGTTTGTCCGTTGGATCATTTTTCGTCCTCTGGAGCCTTCAGGGAAGCCTCCAGAAGACCCCTGAAGGCTCCGGAGGGCTTAAACTGGTCCTACGAGCAAACTGGAAGTCTGTCCCCTAACTTCCAGTTTGCCTGTAGGGCCAGTTTTAAGCCTCCGGGAGGCCTCCAGGGAGGGGGGGGGGAGGCTGTGTTCGCCCTCCCCAGGCTCCTATTAAGCCTGGGGAGGGCGAACAAAGGCTTAAAAAAAGGCTGAACTCAGCTGACCAACGCGCACATGCGCGCTGCCCAGCTGACAATGCAATGCCTCTCATGCCCTGACAAATGGCTCCGCGTGCCACCAGTGG